CCTAATAAATTTATGCATTATATTTTAAAAAAAAATATTTATTAAAAAATTTTATTATCCCCCCTTCCCCCCAGACCAAATTCCTGCGTACGCGCCTGATGTTTCAATAATGATTGTCTAATATATATATGATGATGTAAGATGAATGAATATATTAGTTCTAGTCTATATATGATAATGTATCAGTTATATCTAAATTTGAGACAAAATTTACTGTAGGGGAGACCGGGGATAGTGTGTTCCCGGGGTAGGTATTTCCTTCTCAAATAATTTAAAAATTAATAAAGTTTAATTTGAAATTTAAGCCAAATATGTATTTTAATAAGGCGCTTAAGTAGGTCCAAAAATGTTTCGGAAAAAATTGCTCATGAAAAATTTTAAATGCAAATTTAAATTTCAACATACCCAAAGTTACTTTTTAAAATTTTACATTTTCACTAATAACTTTTTTTATAAACGTTGTTTGGACTTAATATTAATTCTAAATGATAAAAAAATCTCCATTTTATCATATATAAAATATTGACACAATTTATGGTAATTTAATAACTTAAAATTATATTTTAATTAATTGTGAAGACCTGAGGCAGGTTTTGGCAGGGTGCGCATTAGCCATTTTTAAGCAAGGATTATTTTGAATAAAAAAAAATCCAACTAAAAACATTAGAAGCCACTATGTCTTGGACCACTAGTGCCAATATGAAGATGATTGACTTATTTTTTGTAATTATATAACAGATTTAAGTGACAACAAGTACTTCCGGGTGACAATATGTGATATAAATAAACCCTAATAAATTTAACATATTTGACAATTTATTTTTATTTATTTACTTAAAATCAACATTTTTATATAAATTTTTTTAAAAAATCTAAAAATAAAGAAGCGCTATGACAAGTAACGTGAAAAGATAATACCCCGAGTGTTTTTCATAAAATTTAAATTTCCATTTTTTTTAAATTTAAATTTAATAGATATTAATTTCCACCGTAGATAATTATATAAAGAATAAAATAACATTAAAATTATTTTGATAAGTTACTTCTCCTACTTTTCACAGCCTCTCAATTTTTTATGAACATAATCACCCCGGTCTCCCCTACCTTCCTGGCAGCTAAAATTTAAAAATATAAGAATACCTATTTAATAGTTTGAATTATTAACTTATATACACTTAAAAGCTATGCATAACTTATTTTTGTAAATGATCATTTTTAGCCCCCATAGAAGAAAAATCCAAGGAGTTATATGTTATAATAATGATTGTCTAATATATATATATGATGGAAGGCAACAGGACCTTCCTGGCAGCTAAAATTTAAAAATATAAGAATAATAGTTTGAATTTTAACTTATATACACTTAATCAGTTATATCTAAATTTGAGACAAAAATTTACTGTTAAAGATCTTGAAACAATAATACATTGCTCTTGATTTTCAGTACTACAATTTGATTGTTGATTTTCAGCATCTTTTTGTTGAATGGTATCTTGTGTAGGAATCTAAAAATATAATAAAATAGTAATTAAATCAAAAAATTTACCATTGCCTTAGATATAACCTTAAAATCCTTTCAAAAATAGGATTTTGTTTCGTGTACCTTCTAAAAAAATGAAAATCAAAGGAGCGGTTAAAAATTATATATAAATTATGTATAATTGTGTAAGAATATCTATAAATCAGTTCAGATATATATGATGATGTATCAGTTAGTTTCAGTTGTTTGATGTATCAGTTAGTTCTTATTTTTTTGTGGTAATGGAAGATGAATGAATGTTTAATATGATTCTGTGGTGATTTTTAAAAAGAATGTAAAAAATTTAAAAATATTAGAATACCTATTTGATAGTTTGAATTTTAAAGTAGCTACAAACTTTGAATCTCTATTTGATTAATTTTGCCAGATTAAGAAATAAAATCATTTTGCCAGATTATGAAAAAAAAAACATTTGTCGGGATTCGAACCTAAGGCCAATAGTCCGTAAGCGACATTCTTGCCGATTGGTCCACAGACATTTTTAAAAATGAACAATTTTTTATATATATATTATAGATGAAAGTGACCGTGACAGCGTAACGATATTTTTGTGAGAATGTAAGCAATAAGTAGTATTATTTTATTTTTTTTACATTAATTTATTGACTAAAGAATATTAGTTATCCAGGTAAATGTGTAAAAATAGAAATTTTATAAAGGATATTTAATTAAATTAATAAATGAAGAATCCTTTTATTTGGATATTTATGTGTAAATAGTATTTTTTAAATATTACAAAATGTAAATTGTATATAAATAGTGTAATAAATTATATGTTGGGAGGGAGGAGGTCAAAAAAGGGAGCCGTGGATGGCGATACAATTATATCTGATATGTCAATAGATACATACTGTCGAAGATAGAAGCCTTCCTGGGACACCAGTGATAGCGGGAAAAAAACCGGTTGTGTTGGATACAATTGTTATAAGATTGCAATTGGTTAGGGAAATGTATTTGTTAATGAATGAGTTGTTACTAAACGAGAGAACGAATCGGTCGATGCAAGTGTAATCCCATGCTAAAGGAGTTCCATTACTCCAGTATTAAGGTCAGCCCATCTGGCCGGGTACTATTTTCAGTTGAGAGGCCACAGGGTTTGAGGGTTGCGGGGATTTGAGCTTATTGTGCATTATATTATTAGAATCATCTATGTTTTATGACTTTCTGTTTTTTATTTTTATTTATTAATATAAATAAATCAGAACTGCAGAGGTATCATTTGCACGACTCTGCCAGGCCCAGATTTTTTTTAAAAAATTTACGGCCCGATCCGGGTTTTATATTTTCAGGTCTGAGATTTTTTAAAATATATTATATTTATTTTAATTTTTTTTATAGATGCCGATTTAAAATATTTGATAAAATATGCGACCCGGCCCGGGTATTTTCTTTTATTTTTTAATCCCGGTTTGGGTAAAAAAATTTTAGGCTCGGCCCAGGTATATTTAAAAAATTATCTGTATCCGGGTTGAGCTTAGGGCCAGTCCTGCAGTTCTCTGAATTAAAAATCATTAAACCTAAAAAAACCTATATGATTTTTAAAACATGGGGTTTTATATATTTAAGCTAAGGAGCAGTAATTGAACTGAAGCGTTTATAATATGTCAGCCCTGAGCTGTATACCGGATTATTCATACGGGTCCCTGTAAGATATACTGCCAAAATTATTTTAAATGGCCATATTTTAAAGGTTAGAACCGAATAAAAAGTATTTTTAAAAAACCTGGCCTGTTCTAACATTTTGACATATGACAACTGCTTCTGTTCTGTCCATAATTAAGTCGTATTTTTTATTATTTGTTGAGTAATGTTTAAGACAAGCCATTTAATATTATTTTCCTTCCCCCCCCCCCTCCCCCGATGTTGCCAACATTATAAATTGGTGTTGTTGAATACCATTAGTCATACCTCAATTTAACTCATACAAGACAACCCTCTGACTTGTAATGTCTAATCAGGAAAACAGGATATGTATATGAACATACCCTATAGTTTTTAGGTTACTTAAATTAAAATACGGTTAAAAAAATAAAGTGGCCACTTTATTTAAAGGCATGTATTTTTTATTATTTATTAAATCATCTTTTAACGTAATATCCATAATTTAATCATTTAAAATCTTATTGCCGCATTTTTTACAAAAAGATTTAATTAACTGATATGAGTTGAGTATGCCAATAATTATATTAATGTAATTATAAAAGGTAACATGAACTTTTTTTTGTTTCTTTAAAAGAAAATAAAATATGCTAAATTAATGATGATTGGATAGAGGCACTGTAAGGTATTATGCATACTTATGGTAGCGTACGGTTTAGATTAATAAAATATTATTTTCTTATATTAGTATTTTTACCAGCACTGCTAAATTTATATTTATGCAAAAATTACAAAATAGAAACATGTACAAAATAAAGAGAAGAAAAAAGGTAAAGTTTCGTACCAAAGAGAAATTTCAATGGAATCATAAAATCATTTATATATTATTTGCCATAATATTATCTTACAAAATATACAAAAAAATAGAATAGAAAGAAAAGGAGTGGAAAAAATGATATAATATATCTAGGCAATAATAATGAACTCTGACTTTGTTATATAAGGTAATGTTATTTACAGTTTGAGAGTACAAAATAACTTGTTTTCATGAAGAGGATTTGAAAAAATCATTGTTTTGGAGTACCGTAAAAATGGGTCTTATTACATTTAATGAGATTTGGTCGTTTTTAGCACGAAAAATATAATCATCTATTATATTATTTTTTGCCAAGATTTAAAATAAATTATAAGGCCTTTATTTCCAATTTAAATGAGTTATTAATAAAAGGTTCTTCGTTGTTGAGGGGAAAACAAAATATATTAAAATGTTTTTCTGAACAAATTTTAATTATAGTCATTATTTTAAAAAGAATCAATGTATAAGTATCTTTTTTATTACATTTTTCGGAAAAGAGAAGTGTAGGCGGCGGGGGGGGGGATCTATATTGGCCTAAAATGAAATTAGAAAATCTTTCTAATTTATCAAGTGGAAACGTCCCGTGACTGACCATGCATATGATTAGAAGGATGTGACGGAGGAAGAAATATGGTATAAAACTAAAGGATGATTTGGTAAATGGCAGTGAAACGCGGAGGACAGGAATTAAGGGAGCCGAAATAAATTAGGATGATAATATTGTTGTAGTTTACATTTTTTACTTGATAAAGTAATGTGATTTATTTTCTAAAATATATGACGGTGGGACCCGAGAAATTTTTAAAAAAATTTAAAGGAAGAAAACTCTTAAGTTTTGCAAATGAAAAAATGAGCCTTCTTAAGTGGGAAAAGCTAGCAATCACTATATTTTATAGTAGATGTCTGAGCTGGGCAAAAAGATTTTGCACTAACTATGATTGTGCAAAATCCTTTAACTGTAAACAGAAACAATTGAACGTAAAAAAAATAAAATAAACATATTAATTTAAAAAATTAACATTTTTTATTGATTAATTAAAAATCTTTTGAAAATAATATAATAACTATGAGCATTTGATTATAAAAACAATTATTCAGAAATATAAATAAATATAATTAAAGTGATAAAAGTTGTCAGCTCGCTTCCTTCATATCTTTTTCTAGTCCTTTCATTTAAAAACCTATTTTTATATTTATAAAAATAAATATAAAAAAGTAAAAATTTAATCGTTATATACTTATTCTATCCAATCTTCCAGGGCACACTTCTTTACATTCTTTGGTAAAACAAGTAAGAGTGTAAGTTCTTAGTTGGGCGTCGTTTTGGTATCTTAGATCAACAATCGCAATCGAGGTAGTTTCATTCTTAATTGTTATTAATAAAAAATGTTTATAAGATCTAGCATTTACAATGTTGACCAGATTTGATGGAAACATTTCCATATTTTTTAATTTATTTAAAAATAAAATTATTTGAGTAGCAAAAAATTGTTAAAATAACATATTTAAATATTCTTATCAATTTTTACAAGTTAAATAATTATAATTTTATTTACAAACGAATTAAAAAATATGGAAATGTTTTGAATTAAATCCATATCACTGATGTAGTTCGATTATTAGAGTGCATTCAAAGTTTATAGGTTTTGTATATAAAGAAGGAAATTTAATTTATTTTTTATTAAAGCTGATATTAATATTTTTTTCCCCTTTGTCCTATTCATTACCTTATGGAGTGCACTCCAAATATTAACAAAGATTTATACCTATTAGGCAATTTTAAAAAATAAGAGGATTTCCCCTTAATTATGTGATATAATAGGTCCTACTCGTTTTATAGATGTGCAATCCTTATATAGAAAGTCGGCAACTATTTTCTTTTGATTGAAAAAGTTATGGGAGCAACTGGGTACTCTTTCGTCACCTCTTGTATTGACAGTTAAATTTAAAACCAAACCAAGGTCAAATTTCGCGGAGAAACCATCTTCTCGACAATTAGTTTCAACTTGATTTTATGTGTTATGTTTATAATAAAATAATAAAAAATCCAAAAAACTTGTATTATTAAAAATTACTAAAATAATTTTTATACCACTGCGCGGATAGCTGATTTCCTATATAAAAAAAACAAATCATAAAAGAGCGATATTTGTATTTATTATTAAAATTTTAAACTTTTTTAATTTTGAAATAGGTGACGCGACAGTACATTTTTGAAGTTTGAACTTGTCCAGTTTTGTATCTCACGTAAAGCGTGTTTGTGTAATTGTCATTATGCTACAAATAAAGTAATTTGATCATACATACAGTCATGCTAAGGCTTTTAATGGCTCGGGATGAAAATTAATTCTACGGCTCTATAGGTAACCCCCCCCCCCCCATAAATAAAAACCTATGTTAGCCATATGGGATTTGTGAATAAAATTAAGGAATAATAAGTATGATTCATGTAATAGTAATACTTTTCTTTAAATTTCACTTTTAAATGTATGAGAAACAAAATTTAGATACCGGGGCGGCTCCCTCACCCGCTACCCCTTTTGGGTGAGCTTGCATATATAGAGTAATATAAGTAAATAAGACCTTAACGGTTCCGCAAGATAGCAAATCATATTGTAAAGAGAATGTAGTTTTCCCAAGTACTTCAGTTGAGCACAACCCTTTTTCGGTAGTGATGTTGCCATAAAATGGTTTTAAGAAGGTAAGTGTCAATTGAAATTGTTGGGCACCACATTTCATAGTAACTACATTTTATTATTTTTTTAAGTTATATATATATAATGTGTATATTCATGATTATATTATGTAATATACCTTTAGGTCTGGCTAGTGCCTCCATCATTTTCTTTTTATATTTGGATTTTAAATTAATTTTTTTTAAAATAAATCAATAATTTTGTTTAAAGAAAATATTGTATAAAATAAATCAATAATTTTGTTTAAAGAAAATATTGTATAAGATATATCCTAACTTTCGTAATTCCATAGGTACAGGTATAATAAAATTGCATTAAGTTGACGTAAGTTTTAAACATGTCTTTTGGATACTCAATGATTATATCAGCCTTGTAAGTATTATTAATCTATTCATATTTATGATGAGTTGAAAGTAGAAAGGGAAATTTAATAATCTAAATACCTTGTTCAAACCGCACGTTCCATGTTTAACTTCCCAAAGTAATATTTTCTCTTTGCTAATAAGTTTTTCACATGTATGATTTACATCATATATTTTCCCTACAAATGCCTTCTGGAACATAAAACTCAACGCAACAGAATTAGACTTGCAATTAATCTTATCTAATTTAAAGGGTAAAGTACAAATATTTATGTTTATGTAAAATTATAATTTACATGCGACGTTATTTTTGGGAGTAAGTTTTTCGTATGGTATTGTTACATATTGGCTTTCGGAATATTCGACTGTTCGTTCATACAAGTTTTCTCCTTCATTTAATGATCCTTCCATATCAGTCCCGTTAATATCATAAAAACCTTCAGGCCTATCTCCTGTTCCCCACATTTTCTTATATTTCCTAGAACCAGTTTCACTTTCAGTTCCAGTTTCTCCGTGTCTTTTAGTGCCCATATCTCCTGATCCCGCGGCGCCACCCTGTTGTTGACCCATATCTCCTGAGTTGACTCCGCCTACTATTTTTATATTACCTTTTACGCCACCTTCACCCTCAACACCCCCGGTACCTACTTGATTTACACCTGGAACAATACCCCCTGTCATTGTGGATATCTTATCTTCTCTACCTTTAGTATGTTGAGCATTACCTGTGTAAGTGTAATTTTTACCCCCCTCACCTTCGTTCATGTAATTCCCTTCTGTATCATGACCTCCTATAACTTTTTTCCCATTTCCTTTAGGAACTTTAGTAGACTCTTTCATTTCAGGTGTTAGTTCTCGCTGGGACGATTCTGAGCCTAAGTTTGATTCTCTCTCTCCACCTATATTAGGAACTTTAACTTTTGCCCAATTTTCTTTTTGAGGGACTTTAGTTGACATTTTAATTTTAGGTGTAATTTGTTCGTGATGGGGCAACGCTGAGCCTAAGCTTGATTCATTAATTTCCTCATTTTCGCCAGCGTTTCCAGGAGGAATCACCCCCGGGGGATGAGATATTTTAGATGGAATGCGGTTTGTTACTATTTTTAGTCCTTCTGAAGGTTTCAAAACTTTTGATGAGCTTTTCTCTATTTCAACATTATCGATATTTGGAGATGATAGGGTATTTTGATTTGACAAGCCTTCAACTCCTTTATCTAATGGAACCTGCTCAGATGGTTTATTAGAAATTTGTTTATTTTTACCACCAATGGGAACTTGCGTACCCTGATTAAATTTTGGCGATGCGAATGTTTCGACTCCTCCATTCATAACTATCTCTGGTGTCCCTGCTTTATTCCATCCGGGTATATTCGTCGTTTCATTTTCTTCTTCTATCACATCTGGTCCCAAAGTTTTTTCAACCTGGTGAGGTTGTTTGATTTTTTTAATTTTATCTGGTCGTATTTTGGGAGTTTTAACCTTAGTTTCTGTAATTTTTATCGGAGTTTTCTTTGTTTTTTTGCCTTTCCAAGTCGTGTTAGGTAATGTTGATTCCGTCATCCCTTCATTCTCCGGGATTTCATTTACACTTGGAGTTTCACCAATCTTGCCTTTAGGGATTTTTCCTTTTTGACCGGGAAATTCGCCTTTTTTATGACCTGGAAATTCGCCTTTTTTAATACCTGGAAGTCCTTTTTTATGACCTGGAAATCCGCCTTTTTTATGACCAGGAATTTTGCCTATTTTATTACCTGGAAATTCTCCATTTTTAGTTGGAAACTCTTTCAATATGGCACATTGTCCTGAATAATATAGTTTGTATCCACCAGATAACTCATTCTGTGAATAACTAAGGGTAATGTTGTACTTGTAATACAAGGAATCCTTGATAAAGTAAATTAACAGGCAAAATTTTATTATTCATACTTCTAATGTTGCACAAGTCTCCAGTTTAAACCCTGCAGTAACGTGGGTTTTTGCCTTTATTTCTTTGGTGCATTGTGAATTTTTTACATTGTAATTCGAGTATATATTACCACTAAAGGGTTTATAAAATTGGAAAACGACCTGAATCTCATTGCCGATGCAAAGAATATTTGCTAAGCATAAAAAAAATTTACTAAGTAAAATTATGATAAATATTACCTTCATATGGCTGGGAAACCTAATAAATGATAAACACAAAAATAAAGAAAATAACTTTGAAATTTTATGACTAAAAATTACCGATATAGTATTTATCACATTTCCCATGCTTGCAAAATTTTTTGTGTCAAATCCACTTAAATATAAAAGTCATTGAGTAATATAGATGTAATTTAAAACTATATTTCTGGTTTATATATAATTCATTGAATTTATGAATCAACTAACATTATTTTAATTAAAAATTATTCCTCACACAATAAGGTTAGCTCATTATAAATTTACAAACCTAAACTAAAACTAGAAGAGTAAACATTAATATCATTTAATCAAATTACTACTAAAATAATCTTTATTACTCTAATATCTTTTTCACTACACTTTCAGGGATTTCACTTGGTAGTTTTTCAGGTTCTTTACAGAAAAATGAATAAACCGACTTCCACAATGTATACGTATCTGATTGAATTATTATAGTATTTCTATACAAACCGTCCTCCTAAGGGAATAAGTTTATTATAAAAAGAAATTTAATAAGTCATTAAACTTTTATATCAATCGATAAAAGCATGTCTAAAAAATCAATTATTCTTTTAAAAAATAGTACATTTTTAGTGCCACATCTATCAAAAGGAATCAATACAGTTTTGGCTTTAGCATTTTTAAATGTGATGTCACAGGCTATTCTCCCGGTTTTAGAAGCCACCGTATATATTTTCCCTGAGAACGGAGCTTCGAATTTGATATATATTTTCATTCCCTTGTTGATACAAACACCATACACTATTTTTCGTGAAAACAAATTTAATATGCATATTGAATTAGAACTGAAATAGCTTCCTAATATCGGCTAAACTATATTTATGCGAAGCTCCATGCATTTTTATTCTATTTTTTTAAGATGTAAACGTTTCTTGGAAGTTAGATTGCACATCGGTAAAAATAATTATTTAAATAATCCGGATAATTCGAATATTTAACAAATAATTTGAATTATTAACATGTTTTTTAATAAAATTTAATTATTATATTATTGTAGTTTGAAAATTAACTTACACTAATATTTAATTATAAGTTCATTAAATAAATTTCATAATTGACGTTTTTATTGTTTTTTTTATTAAAAAAATGTTACTCTAAAAAATTTTACTTTTTTTCTCGTGGAGTAAAAAATTGGCACTATCAATTTCAAACTACTTCAAAAATTTTGTAAAACTGATTTATATTCAAAAATTAAGAACCGTTCTCAAACCAAATTTATAAAAAAGCGATATAGCGCCACCTTGTGTTAAACTAAAAAAAATGCAATATGGCGACCTGACTCGCAACGTATACATATGGAGGGGAGAAGGTTAGTATCCACTTCTTTCCATATATCTTTAAGGAGGGGGGGGGGGTAAATAATATTTTTGGGGAGTCACCTGTTATTATATATTAAAAATGGATCTTATATTTTAATAAAATTTGGACTTTCTTTAGTATGTTAAATTTAAATAATTTACCTTGAGCTTTTTGAACCTATAAATAAATAGAAAAAAATACATAAATTAAATCCAATTAAATAAATGTAAGATAAATAAATATCACTATACATTATTTTAAATGATTACAATATAAAATAAGATTTTATAAAACTTATCGATTAACCTTGAATTTTCGGCAATATCAAACAATATGGTAAATATCTTTAAACTACCTAAAAATTTATCCAGAGAGGTAATTTTGAGGTATTAAATCCTACAGATTTTTAAGCATGATTATGTCATTTCCTATTTAAATCTAAGTTAATGTGTGCAAAATTTTATACATTTTATCGTATAATTTTAGCAATTAGCCCTCTTTTTATAGATTAAGGGTCTAAAATTTCCCATTTTAGTTATATTTTTACAAGTATTTTGTGATATTTATATAGGTATTTGAAAAATAGAAATTCCCCATTATAGATTCTTTATAACAATATTTCATGAATTAATTAATAAATTAGTAGACCTATAGACCTCCATTAAAATTTTACCCACCCAATCTGGCTAAGCCTCTGCTTCGCTATAATTGTATGACTTTTAATAGTAAAAATCCGATTTAAAAATTAACAATTAAAAATCATAAGTAAAATATAGAACTATTCTGATCTTAAGATGTTGGGAGTGTGCAAAATTTTAGTTTTAGATTTATAAAACTTTTAAGGATATAATAACAATTAATAGTTAATAGTAAGAGACTCACGTTACCTCTCGATTAACTTTTCCCATCTAACGATAGTTAAATATTTCCTGGTATGTTAATTTAGATATTAGTTATACAATACCCGGTTAAATTGAAATAAATTTTATATATTTTTAAAATTACATAAATTCCTAAATTTTAAAACATAATATTATTTACCGTCTGCTTTGTTTCGATTAGCATTTTATTGACTTCACTGAAAAATAATATAAGTATGGAATTATTTATTAACATATAGTAGTTATGGATTAAATTTATTAAATAATTTTAATTTGTTTTACTAAATGGTCATGGAATGGATAATTTTTTTGCATTTAACATCAAAAGATAGAGCGATACCATTGCAACCAATTAGCAATGTATTCAAGAATGTATTGTCAATCTGTAGAAAACAAATAGAATAGGTAAAGGTTAAACTTTTTAATAAAAACTATCATGCAGGCATTCTTGAGAGCATGTACAAAATATGCTGATATTTTATGTATACTTTGCCGCGAATTTGCGCTAACTGCGAATGCATAGTTATGCACTTCAAATAGAAACTTATTAATATGCTGATCAATAACCTCAAAAATGTTGCAATCTTAGTTATAATTTTTTTACAATATAATATACCTTACGAGTACCGCATCTAGTATAGTCTAAATCCAAATTGATTATGCCTCCTTTGTCGACAGGAATATCGCAATCACTGCCGAGGGATTTTATAAATCCGGTGAAAGGGCTTTCGAATTTTATATTTACCTTAATACCGTCGGCCAAGCACATATACGTTACTAAATCGTGGTAATATATGTATAAATTTAAAAATTTTAATGACATATAACAAAAAATTTAAATAGTCTCACTTTTAGGAAAGATCTTGAGTTTGTACTAGATTTGTTTGTGAAAAAAAGATATCGTTATATTCAGGAATAACGCGGTATAAATAATATTTACCTCATGTTGATTGATCCAAGTAATATTCTCCAACTTGCGTTCATAACACTCGAAACCAATAAAATCGGTAAATCCGTTATTATAATCTACTGCCAATGTTTGGGAAATAAGGTCACCTGACTATAGTTTTTTTCCAATATTTTTTTTACCAAATAAAGAAATAAGAATATATATATTTAATATTTTGTTTATAAAAAAATATGGCATAAATTAAGCTTGTTAACTTTGGTAAACGCGCATTCATTAAGGTTCAAATCGAATACAACTTTCTTTTCGCCTTTACCTATGTACGAGCATGTTTTCTGATTTTGTACTGTCACAATCTTCCCATTGAAAGGTGTTGAAAATGTCAATTTTACAACCACCTTATCAGCACCGCATATAAAGCTTTCTATAATAATAAACGTTTATTTATATTAATTTATCCCTTTCAAATTTCATGCATGAATAACAAGGGAACTTTCTAAAAATGGGGTCGATTTATTTCATACAAAGTATGACGAATAAGATATTTATATTTTAGAAGAAACATCTTTTTTTTCTCAATTATTAGATAAATATATATTTAATTAGATATTGCGATTATTTTTAAAGCTAAGCTCTGCAATCATTATCACCTTATTCTGCCGTTTTTATTGAAACTTTGCAAATATTAGTTTTTAATATATATATATATATATAAAAGAAAGGACTGAATTTATTATGTAAACAATTATGCATAAAAATTAAAATTTTTAAATAATATGTATAATGTATAAAAATTGTTATAATATTTACTCTCCGACACTTTTGATGAAAACTATATTTAAAAAAAAAGAGTTAGTCTTTACAATAAACTTTAAACAATAAAAAATTACCGTTGGAAGTTTAATGGAATCTCTGTATAATATATTTAAAAAAATATAAAATGTAGATTTTTAATATTTAGAATTTATAAAGGCTAATTCGAGAGTTTGATATTATGACTTGCCCAAAATTTTTGTCATGGACGATTTCTTATTTTGTCATTATTAACCTTGAAATTTTCTTAAATTAGGAGGACAAGTTTTTCTCAAAAAGTTTCACTAAATTTTTATATCATTTGTACATCACTTACATGGACAATTGGGTAGTGGGTTGGCAACCTAGGTTGTAAAAATATTTGAAACCAGCGTTTATGGCGGTAGATTCAACAACCAACATATTGAATGTGTACTGATTCTTCTTAAGTAATAATAAAATAAAATATTTATTAAATTGTGGACTACCTATTATAATTATGAAATAAATAAATAATTGGGAATTAAATAATCTAAGTTTTAAAAATTTTTTTTATAGAACTTTATAGGATCCACAAGATTCGTAAGGTATAACGAGGTCTATTTCTTTGTTATTTTTGCTATTGTAAGCACAGGTGCCCAAGTTTGTACTTGTGTATATATTTCCAACAAATTTGGTTTCGAATTGCAGCGACAAGTCGAATCCACTTTTGCTACACAAGTTTTTGACTTAAAAAAAAGTGATAAAAATATTTCATAATAAAATGAGTTTTTTTGAAATGCCGATTGTGAATTACTCAATTAACCCAAGAGTGATTCAAACCTTTAAATTAGATGTATGCATTGGCCAGACTAAAATTAATTATTTTTAAGACTACTGGCTGTCTGGCCTATTTGCATGTAGGATTCACTACAACATGTTGGCCCACATGGGCTTAATCTAAACCTTATTAAATGACCCATTATTTTTCGATTCCCCATTTGGAATCACCGTGAGAGAATAATCCCCCCCCCCCACCTCTTCTTTCAATTAAAAATATATAAAATAATGGCTTACTTTGTGGATGATTTGGGTTTCGTTCCTATATAAAAAAAATTTTTTTTATTTAAGTTAAGAATAAGTGAAATCTATTTAAGAGACAGATTAAACAAACAAAGTTGGGGTAATCTCAGAAAATGTAAATGATGAAAAAAAAGAATTAAGGTGGGCCTTTTTGGTTCAAAATGATTTACGTGCATTATAGTAATTATCATAATTTTTATTAATAATAATTACAGGTAATACGGCTTCGGACTTGGAATCTCCTCCTCTAAATTTAAGTCCTTTGGCGTGGTCAATCTGACAACTAAGATTCAGTAGTTTATTTTGATCTTTATATCCTGGATTTAAGTTCTCAAAATCAACCATTATAGTTGTCTCCATAAGATTTCCGTTCTATTAAATCAAATTTTAAAAAAAATCGATTAAATTAGTTTAAAAAAATAAACTATCTAAAAACCAAGATATGAGTAAAGCAAATGGTATAATATGTATTTTTTTATAAAAGGAACCTTTTTCACTCCACATTTTCCTAGATCAAAAGTCATTTCGATCACCTTACTTGCAGAGCCTTTGTTTGTACACTTATCGGTCCTGTCTAGTGAATATATATATCCACTAAATGGGTTCTGAAAGGTTAATGCTACTCTCAATACTTTGTCATTACATGATAAGAAATCTTTTTTAATGTGAAAAATAGAAATTATCGATGGATATTTATATGACTAGAATTTAATATATATAATCTCATCCTCAAAGAAATGGTCTTCAAAAAGTATATTATATAATAAGTATAATTCATTATTCAATTACATATATCAATTAATAGAATTTCTGGAGAAAAATGCGGAGTGTCTGTAAAAAAATAGATAGAAAGGGAATAAGACTAAGGAGCGGCATGCTTCAAAATAATTTACAATGGAAATCTTAAGTTGAATGTAATGATGGTAATATAGTAGCAAATTTAGTACTATTCTATTTTAAAAGCATAAATTAAGCATGTTATTTCAAAAGACATAGTGTTGCAGGAATCGTATTCTAGCATGCATAGAGTAAAAATCTTTTCAAACAATTTCACAAAATTTTTTGTCATTTTCTGATCTATACTATAAATCTATAAAATAAAATCAATCTAAATAAGTAATTTAAAAGTTAATGGCAAAATTTTATGCAATTCACATTACAGGGTAGGTACTCAATATTCAATATCTACTGGAATACGATTCAGACAAAAAAAGAAAAATATCGTCCGATAAATCATATAATTTGAAAATTTGCTAAAACCCCAGATTTCCTGGAGTAATAGATACATTAATGGAAGAGATCGTGATGAAGGATTAGAATTTTAAAAAATGATCATATAGGAAAGACGCAAATGGTAGTTGTGCAGAATCTTATTTCATAAAAATAAAAGAAATTATTAAAGGGAAATTATATATAAATTTAGCAATAAATGGAGAACAAGAGAACTATTCAAGCCAGATATTATTTTGATAGATAATTTTAAAAAAATTTGATAGCCTAGCAAAAAATTCTTATTATTATTTTTAACAACAAAAAAAGGTGTTAGGGCCTGTAATAATTACAGGAAAGTAAAATGGCTAAGTTACATAATGAAATTTAAAAACAGGTGATTAAAAAAAGATTACGAAATTTGGTAACCAAAAAAATAAATTTTCAAATTGGGAATACCGGCAATGGAAGAAATGCTCGCGGCGGAGAGAATAATAGATAAGTTTAGTGTATTAAAAGTTTTTTATAATTTGAAAGAATTTTTGTAAAAATTCATTATTCCATTTTTGTTTTAATATTGAATATAAATAAAATAAAAGTTTAATTTGAATTTTAATAAATTTAATAGAATTTTTTTTTATTAATAAAGTCAATATAGTTAATCTTTTTAAACTCAATAAAGTGAATAAGTGATTATCCAAAGGATAGAGTAATAATTAGGCAAAACAACTGCAATGTTGGGGTGGTAGATAAAATAGATTTATCGAAAGTAGACATGACGAAGTGAAAATCAATATAACACTAGACATAAGTGAAAAACTTATGGCAATCATAAATGAAGGGCATCAGAGCCTAAATAAATAATATATAAGACCCCGTCAATTATAATTTTAAAATGGAGAACAATTTTTTGAAAAATAAATTGGTATGAAGGTGTCTATTAAATAATAAGTGTTCATAATTATATTTAAAACTTACAGCCGATTCCTTCGTTGTACATAGTCTGAAAAATAAATTTAAATATAGTTTATCTAAATTAAAAACAACTAAATTAGAATGTCTCTAGTCATATATGTTCATTTATTTTTAAAGAAATTCATATTTATATATTAAAAACACTCCATAATCAAATATATTACCGCAACAAGGGAACCTTCATTCATGATATCGTCTTTTTTAGATAACGCTTGCGCACTAGGATAGTCATCATCGTCCTGAAAATGGTCTTTTTTAGATAATGCTTGCGCATCAGAATATTCATCAATGTATTGATAATGACCTTTTTTAGATAACGCTTGTGCACTAGGGTTGCTATCGTCATCATCGTACTGATAATCGTCTTCCTCGTCATAATAATTATCCTAAATCATGCCAAGATATATGTGACATTAAAAATATTCTGGTTTTCAATCTCATTCCTTTTTAAATTAAACAATATCTAATTTTTATAATTATATTTTTATTTAGTAAAATGAATTGAATACATTAATTAATTGCTGATGAAAGCAGATTTATAAATTTGGAAAAAAATTGTCAAAAGGACATTGAAAAACTAACCGGCAATGATTCTAATCTAGTAGATGATGTTGATGAAAATGAATATTATTTATAATTAATGATTATAACTTAATGATGATGTTAACTATTGTCATTTTTAATTATTATTGGTATGTAATAAGAATATTTTTTTCGAAAATATGGCAACTTTAGCATTTAATTTTGTAATATTTTTTAGAACATTCTAAAAAAAAGAAGCGTATTTAGAATTAGAGATTGATAAATTATTTAATTATAAAAATGAAAACTAATATTTATAAATATTATTAAAAAATATGTCATTTGAAAAATTCGGGTTCTTTTAAATTTATTTTCTTTATAATAGTGGACAACTTCTCAGTAAAATTAATATTATTTAATATAATTCTAGCATATTTTATAATAATTTTTTTATCCTTATTCTTCTTTGTTCTTTTTTTTGAGAAAATTGCGATTTTGAAAATTTAAGTTATTAATTTATTGCAAAATTATAAAAATTTAACGAAATATTTATACAATTTATTTCCTTTAAAGATTTTTTTATTTTAATTTTCTTTACCTGATTGTGACTAGCTATCAGTTGTACCAATGCCAATGACAAAAGCAAGTATCTTAACATCTTTGGTGCCATTTAAAGGAGGTTCTTTTTTGGTAAATGTGTTATTTTGAGTGCGGAAGACAAGGTAAAAAGCATTAACAATTCAAACAAATAAAAATAAATTTTTTTAAAAAAGATTTATAATAAAATTATATTTTGAAAAAATTTTATTAAAACAAAAAAAAATTAACCAAGAGTTTAATAAAAAAAAATCATTTTTTATTAATTAAAAAAATTTTTTCAAAAAAAAAATTAAAATGATAAATAAATTGTGAAGATGTATTTTTAAAAGAGAACAGTTCTATTAAAAGATTTAGTTTATTATCACACATTTAAATTATAATTTTGGTTATCATTTATAAATACGAGACAAATGTTCTAGAAAATAGATATTAAAAAAAAATAAAATTTTTTTATTAAAATATAATGTCAGAATTTTATGTTTTTAGAAATATATAAAACGTTCTAAATTACAGTATACATTTTTGTCTTTATGTTTATAATAAAAATAATGATATCTGCTTTATTGAAGAATAATTATGAGGATTGATATTTACAAACCTCCTGCTAATTATTGAATATAAAGATAGTTCCAATTATATAGTTATGGATGAAGGTAATTACATCATTGTTAGCCTTATCTTATTGAATAAAGATTTTAGGAGTGCTCTAGCCCCCCCCCCTCCCATAATGACCCCTCATTTTAAAATAGATTACATTATAGGCAAGTCGGTGTTGAAAATAAAATACGGTCAATTGACCGAAAGCATACTTGACGGGTCAATTAATCTAAAATTTTATTTTTATATTTAAATATATAGCATAATTATTGTAACGTACTTTGATAGAATTAAATAACATTATTAAAGACTTGTACAATGTGTGCCTCCCCCCTAGTAAAGGCACCTTAACAAATCAGACCCCTAATACTAAAACCCTTATTATAACTGACAAGCGCCACAAAAAAAAATATAAAACGACCAATTTTTATCACTTAAATCAAATTAAATATACCTTTGCATTATTCCGGTTATTTGAATTACATATTAGTTAAAATGGTGCAATTATTATTATAGATGAACTTATTTCGTAAAAGTTTTAAGAATTAGAGTTTAATTTATTTATTATAAACAGCGCATGCTTGTCACAAAAATATATGTCTCCTTTAAAAAAAAAGTATGAGCCAAGCAACCATGATAAATAAATTGATGAGGTTATGAGTTAGGCACTTGTTATTATTTAGGAAGTTGTATATTATTAAAAAAATTTTAAAATGTACAATTTGAAATAGAAGGGTTCGGTATTTAGTTTAAGCTTAACCAAATCATATTATGGAACAAAATATTTTTAAAAAATATATATCACTAAAGGTTCAACAACCTTAATCTAATGTATATATAATATTTTATATTTCAAATTTTTATCAAAATATTAATAAATAAAAATTTCTAGAAATTTATATTTTAATTTATTTTATACATAACTAAAGATATCAAAAATATATATGTTATATATAAAAAAAAGAAAAAGAAAACAACGCGCACAAAAAATATTAATGTTAAAACTAATCATCTTGTGGGATGAGGCTGCCCATGAAGCTAATGTAATTAGCCCTATGAATTGCTATGGCGCGTCTTTTTTACGAATGTACGAGCCAAGTTCCTTGAAAAAGGAGAATGCACAATTCCCAAAGGTTGTGGAAATAATAGGAATGAATATGTATTATTGTATATTTCAGAATATTTTTCTATTTTAAGTAACTCCTTTTTCTCCTGTTAAGTGTTTGATTGGATGGAGCCAAAGAGTCAATACACAAATAATCCCAGACCAGGAAGACCACCCTTCCAAGGAATTTGAGAAATCTCATCAGGACGTTTCCCATCAGTTCGGAAAAGACCAGAAGGTTCAAGAATAGAGGAAATTGAGCTGATAAGTTCTAAGGATAATCGAATTTCACAAATTATGTATAACGTTTCGACCTTTACAAGAAAGACAATGGAAGTTATGTCTTCCATCGTCCAAAACGGCTGAAATAAGTTTTTTATTTGTAAAATAAAATAAAAAAGAAGGCAGTCATTATTAAGAAAATGTTTAGCAGTTTTCGATAAATGGTTATATTTTTTTAAATATAAAGAAGATTATCATTAATATGGAGCAACCTTTTAGTTTTCGAAATATATTTATAAGATGCTTTTTTTTTATTATAATCATGTAAGGTATAATGTCAAAATTGGGAATCTATTATTAAAACTCAAAATATGGAGTGAACCAAACATTTTAGTATTCAGTTTGATATTATATATATAAAATATTATTGTCGCCCTTTAACAATATAACATACTCAACGTTTCTATCAGTATGTTAACCACAATAAAAATATTTTCACTGGAAGGAATGAATGAAAATTATAATATTCACAATTTAAAAAAAAAATCATTCAAAGTTTGATAGGTGTAAAAATTTGTATCCCTTTTCAATTTTTATCGTGGATTTTTTGTTGTAAAATGACTATTTTCTCGTTTGTTATAAGTGCAAAGAAATAACCTATGAATAATTATCCCATAAATTGATAATTCATATCTATACAGAATACTAATAAATTTAAACGATAAATAGGTTAAAAATCTTTAAAATAATATTTTAAAAATAAAATAAATTTGAAACAAAATATTTCTATAATAATAGATTCAGAGCGGAAGTGGGCAAATTATAAAAATTTTTATGGTGTATGAAGAAAATATGATGTTTAAGAAATTAATGGGTCAATATTATCCATTTTATAGAATGATTCAATCAGGGTAACATTTATATATCTAGGTACATTTACCATCACAAGTAGTTTATATTCAATGACTTGATAATATTATCATTAACATAAACATCCAGAAGCCTATTAAGTAGTCAAATTTTATATATTTAAATAATGTTTTTTTTTCAAATAAACTAATGATTTTGTCATTTAAAAACCTTGCAAAACATTAAATTTAAATACTCTTCCATATCCATACTTTATAACTAAGATTTAAGCAAATAAAAAGTTTTGTCTTTTAATTTTTATAAAATATCATAATCTAATTTTCATTATTTCATTTTTTATGGAATGTCATCATGCTGATGTTTTAAGTTAAAATCACTTTGTGCTGGCCATCTCGCCATAGATTTTGAACCTATTTAAAAATTATTTTTTTAAATTAACAAATTTTAGCCTCTTTTTTTCTATTTCTATTACTCAATTTAAATCTTCGAATATATAAAGAGCATATATTGAACATATTCTACGAAAAGATTTTTCCTAATAATTTTTTTAAAAATAGGATAAAACGTTTGCCGAGATATAAAATATTGTCGTGCTGATATGCTTCTTAGTTTAGATAATAATGTTGAGCATATAATAACTGTATACTGGTACAGTGGTTTATGATTTTACTTAGGGAAGAGGGCCAAAATTTTCTAAAAAAAATAGTAGCTAAATTATTAATATCCACTATTTATAATTTTGAGTACATAAAAAAAAAGGTATCATAAAATTTGTTTTCTCAATGTTTTTTCCTTTGAAGCTTTGTGATTAAAATAACATATCTAATCACATTTACAAATAAAAAATTATTTTGGAGGGGATAGGGCCAAATGCCCGGTTGATCCCTCCCCCCATCAAATAGGGCAATGTATTGATATCTTACGCTATAATGGATATTGGCTTCATAACACTATCATATTACAAAAACATATTAACAATTTTTAAATTATTTTATTTAAATTTTTTTACAAACAAGTAACAATAAAATCAAATAATTTATTTTAAGATTGTTTCATCAAAGAGAATTTTGCATAGATAAAATTACAATTTTGTGACAATAAAAAGTGTAAGGTAGTAGTCATGACAATTTGTAAGAAGTAAATTTTCTTGTTTTTTTTGCGTAAAATTTCAATAATATTTCAAAAGTATCTTTATCATAAATTTATTTTTAAAAAAAATATTAAATCTGCATTGAGTTACAAAAAAAACATATCTAACAAGACGAATATGTTTTAAATTAATTGGAATGTGGTATAACAAAATTTTTTTATAAACGAAAGACAATAAAAAATATTTTTAATATTATTATATATATATAAATAAATCTTAATTTTCTAAAATAATATTTGGATAAATGTATAATAAGTGTAGACCTATACCGGGTAAGAGTGAACTAGTTATAATTAAAATGTCAGGCTCCGATAAAAATCGTTTTTACAACTTAGCACCGATTTACAAATATAACATTGTATTGTGCAAAAAACCAAGAAAATTCTTTAAAAATAAAAAAATAAATTGCTATACGAGGAATAGAGAATACCCAATAGGGGTATATACAAGTCAGCTGATTATATTTTTCTTGTTTTGAGCAAAAATCCAAAGGAATAAACGCGTTGAACAAGAAAAAAAAATTAACCCTAAAAAAAGTTTTAAAAAAAAACTGAATGAAAGTTTTACAAATTGGTAATAACCTGTTCAAAATTTAAAACAAATGAAAGCGTAATTATTTATTTTGATGAAAATGTCGGCTATTGTTTACCATATTTAGCAAAGCTCTTGAACTCAATTGGTTTTCTTTGCACTTAACATACCGCTTTTTAGCTTTTGTAGATTTAACTAACCTTATAAGGACACTCTATCAACATAGAAATGGACTAAAAATACTATGAAAACTTAATACATTTTCCACAGTATACTATATAATATGATGCTCGTATCATTAAATGTTATAAAAAGCGATAGTAAGGGCGGAACAAAAAAGAAAAATAATTCATTCAGTACTGAGTTGAAGAGAGATCAGTTAATCGTTTCCTTTGTTGAAAAAATTTAGTGTTTTGATTTTGGCATATTAATAATTTAAAAAAAATATAGATATTTTGTGTAAATCATATTGAATTAATCGTAATACCCCAGTAAACATAACAAATATATAGCGCGTAGGGTTAAAATATTAATTTGAGTAGTTTGTTTCTAAATACTTCTAATAGAAATTATTTATGAATGATCCATACAATCACACAAACTTTTTTGACTTGCGCTGATTAGCCATGATGGTCTCGTACTGGGACATGTTGATCCCCATCTGGCTCTCGAAAATTTTGAAACTCATATGAACACTTGTAGCTAGATTATTGGCGGCCCTGGATCGACATTCGGACAATTTCATAGCGAAGGTATAACCTAATAATTTATAGTGCAGGGGGGAGGTTAGCTTTTTGATTAGATAATTTTAAATTATAAATATAAATAATTAATGGGTCTTATCTTAAACAACTGATTATGGATAAATATTGAAATAGCTTTTGATTACTGTCGTATTTGTAAATACGTTTACATTTATATTTTTTTTTTACGCGAAATGCCAATCAACCAATTAAAATAAGGTTGATTGGGTATAAAAATTAGATATAATTGTAGTTATAAATATATATAGTGTATATTATAACACGTCACTCATAATCACGTGGTATTTGTTTTTTATGTAATATTGTAGTTATATAATATAGATTTGATATTATATTTATTATAATTATTTTTTTTGGAATTAATTTTAAAAATATAAAAAATTATTGATATTATCTTAAACAAAGATTTATTATTATTGACTTTTGAGTTATTTAAATTTTGGATTGTCATTTAGTTTTTCTTGGTTTTCTGATTGGTAATTTCGTATAATATTTGATAGTTTGTTTTTTAGAAGGGTTGGGTTTAGTTTCGAGGATTTGTTTAGGTAGATTTTGTTTAGTTTGTGTTTTTAGGGTTTTTTTTGGTTTATTAAATATTAACCAGGGATATGGAACAGAACGTTCTTGGCTCGTTTCAGGAACGAAACTTGTGAAAAATTTTGGAACACAAACAGAACGGTAATTTCGGGAAGGTTCCCGCAAAAGAATATAAAATTTTTAATTATTATAACGGTGTAATTAAGGATAAAATCTTCGTTCTCGGGTTACCAATAGGAGGATCTAGAGGCATCCAAACATTTTTAGAAAACAATTTAATTAGTCTATGTTCAAAAGAAAATATTGTCAAGCATGTACCTTCCCATTAGGCATTTTATTTAATTGAAAAAAAATTAAATATGAAAAAATTTAAATCGATACTGGAGAATAATCAGCCTAAAATTTGAAAATAGCTGGCTACAAACTACCCTTCCAACAAAATCTGGCGGACTTGGCTTACTACCCCTTTCAATAATTTCTTCTATTTCCTTTTTATTAAAAAACAAAAATCTCATTCTTAAATTAATTAAACCACTATAAACAATGCTTTGTCAAACTGGTCTACTAACAAATCCTTTAACGCAATTTATCCATTTACAAAAGGATTGGTATTGTGCTGTCGTGTCATGATATGTTATGTTGATGACACACAGCAGTATACTAACCTATAAATATCTTCTGAAAAATAAGGAATTGATATGCATTAACTATCAAGCTAGGTTTAGACATATCTCTACCTTACAACTGTAAAGGATGTAGGGTAATGGTTGATTCTAAAACTAGACATCCACTCCATTGTCGTAAACAGATAAAAATATATAAGGTATGAAAAAATTAATAAAATAATCCAGATTCATTATTCAAGGCCGATGTTCCTTCATATCTCACACCATGAGATACTTCCGTTATTAATAACTCGCGTCCTAATGGGCATACGTTAAGACATTTTTGCCCAATCTAATAATAAATACGTCCATTAGGTATAGCGGGGAAAAAGAAATCCCCAAAATATTCACATCTAGCCGATAACAATATATTTATACCCGTCGTAGCATCAACAAATTGTGGGAAAGAGGCGAAATCCCTAATCAAACTAATTGGCCAAAAGAGTCCTAAAACAACAATCTCGAGGGCCCTTTTGATCAAACAAAAAATCAGCTTTGAAATTTTACGTAATAATTTTAAAGTATTTGAAGATTCATGGCCACCAGAGGAGGATGATTATTTTTAACTCCTTTCCTTTTATAAAAAATGTTTTTAATTATATTATTAATTTCGTATATTAAATTAATAAATCACTAATATTTATCAAAAAAAAATATTTATAATGGTTCATTTATAAATATTCGTTTTTCTTTCTTTAATTCCAATTTGCTTCACATAGATTAATGCTCATTATTTAGTATTATTATGCTATTTTAAGATTTTAAAATCAAATTTAAAATAATTTTAAGTGTTTTACTATATGATTAATATAATATTATATAATAAAATTTTTGAACATTATAGAGAACAAATTATTGTGGCAGTTTATTTTATAAAGTAATGGACAGTAAAATAAATCAAAATGGGCAGTAGAAAAAACATATGGTAGGTATATTAAAATTTTGGAAAAATTTAAACCCAGCACCAACAATACACTAGAAGCAAGCGATCGAGTAATTAAAGATGAAAATACTCTTGAGAACGCTTACCTCCCGTTTTAAAATTGTTGCTATGGAGATGGTTGAAAAATGGTGCCTATACTACTTCTCAAAAAGTGTTTACGACATATCCAACAATTATTTTAGAAATATAGACATAGGTTAAAACTGGGCAAAATTATAAAAAAAATATTCCATCAATTGAAATGAATGATTATATTGAGTACTATATACCTGCTGATAAATTGCAAGTAATAAATCAGGATGAAATAAATTTTGTGAAAAATATAGCATGAAGTTCTTTTAATCAATATAAATATAATATAATGCATTTGGTTTGTAAGACTACCTCTCAACAAAGGTAATAGGAATTTGTAATTACCCCATCTTTTTTAAATTATTTAAACATGTTGTTGGTTTGGCTATAAGATGAAACTATTGTAAACCTCCTCCAGCAGCCAAGGATATTCCAATAAGGCAAAAACGACGCAGAGGTCGACCTTAGGTTAGAAGGGCTCGCTGCACAATAACATGTAAGTTTTATTTATTATTTGGATATAAACATTTATAAATTATTTTCAATTTTTTAGATTTGCCCATGACACAATGTGCAATAATAAACTGCAATTCCATATTGGATTGAATTTTTGATATATTTGTTAATTTTTATATATAAGATATGTAATTTTTATAAAATATTATTGATAACTTATAATAAAAGAGATAGTTGTATATTAAAAAGACTCTTATTGTATAATCTCATGTAAGTTTTAATTAAATATATAGATATAAAGATTATTTTCAATAAAAACTGCAATTCCATAACATTTTTGATATTTTATCTAACTTTTTCATATTTGATATATTAATTTTCATATTATATACTTGATAGCTAATAATAAAGATATATTTAAATAAATACTAAACATCTTTCAAATCAATTGGTATTTTGCATTTTTGCTATAAAATTTTTAAACATAAGCAAAACAGAGAAATTATAGATTTATATGTAGCCTATATTCTATTCTATAAAATAAAAAAGGTATAGCACTCTAACTACCATACTTTAAAAACTGTGATTAATTAAGTGAAATGCGTCATTTTCGCAATTTTACCCCATACGCAAGATAAAGTGGCTAAGCATCAGGGAAAAGTAGTTAAAATAAAATTGATCATTACTATATTGTTTAATTGAACAAAATATTGCAATGTTGACATCTAATCATCACTTCTAAGTGTCTTAGTATGTTAAAAAAATGTATATATATAAGCCTCAAATGTCAATCAGATGGATTGTAGACATCTGATTGGAGGAAAAAAATTATTATTATTTAATGTAAAAAAATAATAATAATTATTATAATAATATATTTTTTTGAAAATATATATTTTTGTAAAATTAATTCATTGAAAAATTTTTGTTAAATTTATAAAAAAAGAAGAAATAATAATTATATAATTTTAGTTTTTATTTTGTAAAGATTAATTGAATTAAAAAAAATTGTCAAAGTTTTAAAGGAAAAGATTATTATAAGAAATAAAGAAATTTTGAATAGTTTAAATAGTATTTTGTTATACTTATTCTATCGTTTAATACAATTCAATATCAACTATGGGTATCCAGAATACACTTAAAAAGTGGTGCCGTGACCAGGATTCGAACCTGGAAATTCAAGGGTATTCATTATTTTAAGGTAAAAAAATAAAACTTTTTTTTATTTTACATATTATAGGTTACCTTAGGACACAACGCAATAATAACGTTTTTGTGGTTTAAATTTTTTTTTGTGAATTTTAATTAACAAAGTAGTTTGGAAAAATATTTTTTCTTTTTGTAATAACGTAATTTTAAAGTAGAAATTTGTAATATGCGATGGTTGTGTATTTCGATAAGTATTCTGAGCCTACTTTTATTAATAAAATTGCCATCTTTAAGGATATGGGTTATAAAATCTTGTATCAGAACCTTAATGAATTGGATATAGGTCATCACTTAGTTACATTAGGATTAATAATAATTCTATATTCAATATATATACTTTTGAAATTTTTATGTGGAAAATGTACTTTGGTTGCGACCAAGGTATATGGTGATTGGAAAAAGGACACTCTGGTGTCTGTTAATTGTTTTAAAAGAATTTCGGACTTGGAAAGTAGTTTAAATGAAATTTTAAATGAAATCAAGAACGGCAAACCAGGAATGGTTGAAACGATGAAAGATAATATTGATGATCGTTTGGAATTTATGGAGAGATCAGTGGTTATCCTCCAGGAATTAAAAGATATAAAAGAATCTATTAAAGATATTTATAGTGATGTATCCAGGTTGATTAGTATGAATAATCAAGGGGATAAGAAACAATTCGGTGATAGAATTATTTCGAATGGAAAGAGTTTTCCAAAAATGATTGCTGACATAATTTGTAATCGGTGCGGTTACAAGGGTCATTATGCCAAAACCTGTATTGTAAAGGAACAGAATTTTAGAATGGGTTTTCCATTGCAAAAATCTAATGGAGAAAATTCCAACGTAAGGAAGATTTCAGGCCTACATGTAAATAAAGTTGATTCGTTGAAATCGGATTTGGATGGGTCTCGTTTATGTTTTAAATGTAAAGAGACGGGACATATAGCTATAAATTGTGCTTTACACTGACTATATGATAGCAAATGTAATCATATAGCAATTGGAATACAGGGAAATAAAAATTTTAAGAAAGTATATTATAATAAAAAGAGATGGGATTCTCATAATTTTAATGGTTTTAATGAAAATGTTTGTTATCATGAAGATAAAGTTAAAACGGATTATAGT